ACACACACACCACACACACACACACACACACACACACACACACACACACACACACACACACGCCTGCCAAATGGCAAGCACACCCGCTCACGCGCAGCATATTTGCACTGCACGCACGCCTGCCAAATGGTAAGCACACCCGCTCACGCGCAGCCTCCGCTCACGCGCAGCATGTTCACACGCCTGCCAAACGGTAAGCCCGCCCGCTCACGCGCGGCCTCAGCCCTGAGCCCCAAATCGCTCAAATCAAGAAAGGCTAGCTCGAGGTCTGAGGTCGTGTTTACCGGAAAGGGCTACTTGAAGGCTCCCAAAAGGTAAGCAGGTAGTCTTTTTTGCAAAAGGCTACAGTAGTCTTACAGGAGCCCAACGTGCAGCTTAACTTGCAAATACCAATGCGAACTTCCTTCCCCACTGTCACTGCCGCGCAAAAATGTCGTTGCAACATGTTGAGAAAACCACCTTATTTACAGGGAGAACAGGGTGTGTTTTGCCCGGGGTTATTGAGATGTCGACTTTGACCCACGGCGGCATATGCGCCGTGGACCTAGTTTCCATTTAAAAAACGAAACCAGACACACCCAAATTGGCTTCTCAACATCAGTGGCCCGGCCCTAGGCACCCGGTGCGTGAGATCGAAGACCGGGACCAAGTCTCTATGCTCTCGGCATCCCAGGCGTGGTTCGATTCGGCCGCGATGCTTGGCATTCGTTGGCATTCGTGAAGATGTTGGGGGCGCTTACTTGTTCAACGGGATTGCACCATTTCACCCATGTTTACTGCTGTGCTGTATTAATGACTGTGAATTTCATGGGTGGCCGCGCGTGGCTGAAAGACGCTGAGTCATGTGCCACAAATTGGTTGCGGCCGAAAGTTGGTGTGTCACCCAGTCCGAGAAGCCCAAAGCGCAGGAGGGTTTCGCCCTCACGGGGGGCAAGAACCAGGCGCAGCACTTCAGGCCGGCGAAATCGGGGTCCTCACATCCTTACCGCAGACTCCGGGTCCCCGAAGTGGAACCTGGGAAACCCCCACACACTCTTCCGGGGAGGGGTCGGGGGCGGGGTGGAAGTTCGCACTTGTGGAAGTTGAGGCCCCACTTTGCACGTGGGGAGTTTCTCAAAGGAATCCACTTTGCACTTTTTGGGAGTTTCGCAAGCACTGTTGCCGATTTCAGGCGAGCTTCGGGTGATGTTTCCGGGTTGGATATCTAGGGAGCTCCAAACAATCAGTCGACCCATTGTGATTTGCCGGCAGTTTGAGAGCCCTTCTGTAGCTTAGAATGCCAACACAGATCTGAGCTGCTTGGAATTCCTATGTCGGAGTGCTTGGCCGCTTTTTAGGAGGTGGTGATAAAGTCTGACCTCCATATTTTTTTGGGTGGGTGGGGGGGTACCCTTTTGCGCTTAGACGGAATCCCAAAGGAGCAGACCACATCCTTGTTTTTTTTCTTTGACGGGGGTGTGCGATGCTTCCGCCATTTTCCGCCCCAAGTCAGAGGATCAATCTAAACGCCATGGGTCCGTGTTTGAGCAACCAAAAATGACAGGATATCCCGTTGTTGGAATTCAAACAGGAATGTCTTTCCAAATACGGCTTGAGTTAAAGCCCAACTAGAACTTAGTTGTATTCAAAAAGGACAGAATACCATGAAAATTAAATAGAAACTCACCCCCGGCTTGTTCTAGGTTTCCTCTGTTGACCCCCGTCCCCCCCCCCCCCATTTGTTTGGGGTGGCCCCCCCATTTGTTTGGGGTGGCCCTTTCCAATGGCTTCGCAAGATGTTGGATGTTTGAAACGCAAACCAAAACGGAACCGCCCACTTTGAGGGTCCCTTTTGAGACAAACCGACATTGACGTGGGTGTGTCAACATGGGCCATTCGGAAGTCCCCTATGTTAAGACACACTCGTCTGGCCGTTTTCCGTGTTCAATAGTTGAAGAGGGCGAGAACGCACGGCCACACGCACTTGAGCGGCGCAAGTTTTGGCATAATCCCAGATTGGCTCACGTGGACCCCAAAATGCTGGGCGGCCCCTCCGGATTTTCTTGGGACCAAGGTAAAAGGGGTGCCAAGGCCCTAAAAAAGACACCCACACCATGAAACCCGCCAGGGTCCCGTCCCGTGTTTTGGGGCGCCCAGGAGCTGGCGGATGGATTGGCTTCAACTTTGTTTATTGGTCCAGTATCGGTTCGGTATTGGTCGAGTATTGGTTTGGTAGTATTGGTTTAGTACTGGCCTAGAATTGTTGCAGTATTGCCAGAACTGGGCAGCTATAAACATTCTACTTCTCTGTCCCGACAGGATTGCGCTCCTCAGCAAGCTCAACCGCCGCCAGCAGCAGTTCGTGCTTGCCCGGAAGCCCGCAAAAGTCGGGTGAGGTTTGTGACCCCCCCCCATGAAACCACCCTCACGGACGAAGTTTTCTCAGATACCCTTATTTCAACCTCCAAAAGTAGCGGAGTTTATGAGCCCACCAGTCAGTTGCGATGCGGAGCTTGCTCCAAAGCACAGGGAATGGATTGCTCAGCCGCCTCAGCAGAAGGTGGGTTGGAATCCAGGCCCTAACAGAGCTGTACTTTCTGCTTTTTGGGCAAATATTGGGCTTGTGAGGTTGCTGGGAGGCCCTTCCCACCTTGCAACAATTGTTTGAATGGTCGATTTGTCTTTTTCACGTAGGGGATGTGATTTTACCATCTGAATCTTGCCTATCTCACATCCCCAAAACATGTCCTCGGGATCTGCAAGATGTGGACAAGTTCCAGGAATTAGACTCTGGTCCTCTTCAAAGGTGAACCTTTCCACAGCTTGACCCTCAGGTCTTGCAGGCTGCCTCTGTCAAAACGGTCTGATCAAACACGGAGAGCACTCACTCTTTCTTTTTTTTTTGAGGGGCAAAAGGCATCGCCGAATTGGGAAGGCCAGTACGTATGTTGCCCACTTTGTACCCCCAGAACGTCCTCAAAGAGTACTTGGACACTCTGGAAGAGGAAAAAATCCGGGCGCTTCCTCGTTTCTCTAGACAATCAGAAGACATGGGCCGAAGCCCCAAGCACAACTCAGCTATCCAAGTGGACATTTTTCTCGGGTGATGTTGGGCGAAGCCACTTCAGGGTGCTTGCTTCTTGCAAGATGGCTGGTGTAGGGGGGGAATAAGCCTTTCTGGTCTCCTCAGTTCGGCTCCTGTAGGTTTCGGATCCCGCTCACAGTTCCCCTTGACATGCCGCAGGCCTTTTACAGACCCACCTTCGAAGAGTCATTGTTTTGACTGGTTCTCAAAGGCAATTTGGGTGACTTTGGGAAAATCCATGCTGCCAGCCTAAGAAGGCCTTCCTTTCGAAGCCTTTTCTAGGGCGGCAAGCTCGGAGTTTCCTCCGGTGGCCGAGGCGAACCAGAGCCCTGAGGCGGACCCCAACGTGGCCAAGTTAGATGGCGAAGGCAGTTCGATTTCGGCCGAGCGATCTGAGAAGAACTGGGGGTGTCTTTGTGTTAGGCCCCCCCTCGCCGCCGCTTTTTGGGGTTTTAAAGGCGAAACTTCTTTGTGTTTTTGTGGTTTTACAGGAGAAACCATTTTGTGAGCCCCCCAAAAATGACACCCAACTGGGTTTAGATAATCCACAAAACCATGGCCAACGATACAGGGGCTTGCAAAAGCATGATATCCTTTAAAGTCAGACCATTGGAAAACGATAGGGACTCGCAGACTGGGCAACGAACACATCGCATCTATCGTGAGGTCGAATGGATGGACGCGTCGGAAATTCCGGTAAAAGGTGTCCTTTACCATGCCCTCTGCCCTTTGAACCATTGCAAACCATGGTTTGGGCAGCATGTGACCAGGATGAGAGGGCCCTTAAGGGCGCTTCTGACACTCCCCGATGGTGGGCATGGCTTTTTTGACTCCATTAAAGGGACCATTTTCCAGTGGTTCGAACACATGTCCTGTTTCCCCTTAAACAGCCCTGCCGGGTAATCTGAAGGATGCCCCCGGAAATGGACGTCTTGTCTTGCCCCGTGGTTTTTCATTGATCGGTTTTGGCTTCTTCCAGCTGTGGCGGGCTGCGCTGCGCTTCCCAGGCTCCGACTCGCCCGCGGATTCTCGGGATTCGCCCACCACGGACGGAGGCGACATAGCGCTCCATGGGGGAACTGGACATCCAGTTTCGAGCACTGGAAGTAGGCGAAAGGCAGTTCAACTGGCATGTCCAAGCGGGCAGATTTCATGATTGGGCTTGGTTGGTGGGAAAACCAGGCATAGTTGGGCAGTTCTAAGCCCGAGAAGGGTTGACATCACGGTTTGGGCTTTTAAGAGTGAAATCGACGCGCGTGCATGGGTGGGTGGGTGGGTGGGTGGGTGGGTGGGTGGGTGGGTGGGTGGGTGGGTGGGTGGGTGGGTGGGTGGGTGGGTGGGTGGGTGGGTGGGTGGGTGGGTGGGTGGGTGGGTGGGTGGGTGGGTGGGTGGGTGGGTGGGTGGGTGGGTGGGTGGGTGGGTGGGTGGGTGGGTGGGTGGGTGGGTGGGTGGGTGTGGGTGGGTGGGTGGGTGGGTGTGGGTGGGTGGGTGGGTGAGTGGGTGGGTGGGCAGGTAGGTGGGTGGGTGGGCGGACGGGTGCGTGCTTGCGTGGGTGGGGTTTGTTCATACACGCTCAACTTTTTCAGTTAGTCAGACTGAACTAGTTCAGTTAGATTAATCGCTATCGAACTTCAAGCTATTATTTTTACGGTATAACTCTCAACATGTTTGTCAAGTACATGTACACATAGTAGCAGAAACCGCAGAATACAACATGTACTTACGCCTGTTCAGTTGTCATTACTTGAGCCAAACCACCGACATTTGCAGCGAACTCGAGCATGTCCTTCTCTCAAGTTCCTTCTCTCAAATTCTAGTTTGGAACCGTACGGCATGCCTTGTCTATCAGACATGATGTTTACCCTTGTTTAAAGCAATACAGCATACAAGAGCGCGCCATTTGTGTGGTTCGAACCAAGCAATAGCTGCGAACGTGAGCATGTGAACAAGATGTAGCTTTGGACAAGTGCATATGTTTGTTTTTTGGTTTTCCGAATAATGGCCAGACCATTCAAGTCGGAGATTTCCATTAAGACACTTTCAGGCTTCAGGTCACAAACAACTTCACTCTTTCTTGAAGACAGGCAGATTGTGGACTTGTTTCAGTTTTTGTTTTTCTGTATTTGTTTGGTTGTCCCCAGGCTTTTGTGGTGTTCCTCAGGCTTTCCCTGAACACCAACAATATTTGTTAGTTTTTCTTTTTTTAGTATTGTTTGCCGTGTGTTTTTGAAGCGGTGCGGAATTCAGCAAAATACAGCAATTATACAAAAACACCGGTACTGGAAAAAAGAGGTGTACATGATGTCCACCTACGGCTCCCCAATTAAGATCCTTTTGGCAGAGGTTTAGGGCCACCGTTTGGGGAACTATACTTAAAGTGACAAAGTAGTCAGGGGGACGGCCCGGTTTGGCATCACAGAAAGGTTGTTGCGCCACGCAGAGTTCCCAAGATTTGTCTCTCTTGGTGGTTTTCAATTGGTAAGTGCTTTCTGAGGAAATGTAGGTGTCAAAATAGGGAGCTGGAACAAGTGGGGCGGTTTCATGTTGGTCTCCCTTTCAACCAACCTGAAAAGGGTACCCTCAACAGGGCAAACCTTGCAAAGCTCACTCTCGACCTGAGCTGTTCTTTCTCAGGCAGTTTCCGTGGATCCTGGGATCAGGTATTGGAGTTCTTGGAGCAAGCGAGTGCAACTAGCGTGTTCAAGGCGACACCTTTGCGCTCTCTTTTGAACATTTTGTCCATCTACTGTAGCTTGCTGGTCTGCTTAGTGAGCCAGCTAGACCCTCAACAAAAACACACGCACATGCTTCCATGTGCTTAGGACTATTTGCATTTCTTGTGTGAGTTTTGAGGGAATCGCAGTCTGGCGTATTTTTTGTTTCCAGGGGACGTAAGCAAGCGAAGTATGGGGAAACCTGACTGTGGGCGCTGGATTCCTGGACGCACTCATGCGCATCGCGGCATCGCGAGGCGGGTCTAAGCCGGTCTCCAGGACGACTTCCCGCCAGCTCGCTCGGCGAGCTCGTTTCCGTGGCGTTTTGGATGTCACCCCCCCTTTTGTTGGTGTCAAAGGGAACCGGTCGGGAAGTCAATGTTGGGGATCCATTTTTTCAGACCAGCCGACGTGTTTCCTCGTGCTTCTCTCACCTGTTTGGGCATTTGTGAGGGTAATTTCCGGTCGGTGATTTGATGTTCAGAGGGGTCACATGTGCCGTTGTCAAAAGGCCTGTTGACTTGGGGTTGGTGGGGATGGCATCAGCCATGTGACAATGTCCCCCTTTGGGTTCCTTAAAGGAGGGGGAGTTGAGACAGCCATTGCAAGGGCAAGGCCATGCCATGAGTCATGGCCCACCCTGGTTCTGTCGCAGCTTGCTTGCCAATTCAAAGTGTCCAATTGGCGGGTTGATGTTTGGTTGGACACATGGAAGTTGAGCTTGCAACCCTCGAAGGGAGACCGGGGCATGGATGCAATCGTGCTCATGTTGTGAACGGCTCCCACTTTCACCCTTGGCTCCTTTGCCCTGGAAGGCTAGTGGCCTGATAAAGCCAGGTCTGGAGGTCAGGTGGCATGACATCTCTTGTCTGTTCAGCGCGTTTTCAACGGAGATGGGATCCGTACATGGGTTTCACCTTGCAGCCAATTTGGGCCTATGGTACATGGTTGAGGGAACCCTCAGGATTAGTTCTTGTTTAGGACCATCCGTCTCGGAGGGCCTACTCTCGAAAGGCATGGTGCTTCACACATCCATCTCCATGTCTGTTTTATGCAACATGAGCCTCAAAGGGTGGAACGGCGCTAGAGCTGAGGAGACCCTACCCTCGGAGAGGTTCTCCGAACCCCTTCATGGGTGTGCGAGTGTGTTTGAGGGCACCCGTTTGTTGGGTGGTTTCAAAGGAAAGCCAATGGGAACATTTTGGGGGTTCCTCCATTTTGACGCACTCGTTTCGGGTGAGGGGCCTTTGCTGGGATCTCCTCCAAAATGAGTCAGAATCTGAACATAGGTGTCCTTTCTATCGGTTAGTTTGGTTAGCAATCGACGGGTTTCACTGGTTTAGATGGGTTTTATAAGCCATGTACCAGGGAAGCCCATCTATTCTTCGAACAGGTCGCCTATAAATCCGTTTTGCTGGGGTGTGGTTCCCTCGACCTTCGGGCCGGGGGTCAACCAAAAATTGCCCTCGCGCCGAGGGCTGAAGGTGCAGGCAGCAGTGTCTCAAGGTAGCCGGTGGCTCAGAACGGAAAGCTTTTCGGTTTTGCCTCGGGCGACCCTCGGTTTGGTTTTGGTGGTTTGGTGTTTTGGGGGGTAGGAGAGCCCCAGAAACTCGCCCAAATTCATGTAGTTCGAATGAACGTGGGTGTGGTTGGTTTCATTTCGTGAGTTCTGGCGGAACACACTGCTGATGTAGCCCCTTGGCTTGCCGCGGACCACTTCTTGCTTTGCACCACTTGCTGAATTCGAGCGAGATGACATGGCTTCTACGCGATTTAGCTACGTGAGTCCTGAATACTCTCTTGCCATCTTTGGAGAAGCGAACGTCAATAGGTTTTGGGGGTGCGTCTGGGAAAGCTTTCATGCCCTCGCCCTCTTGTTCTCCGGTTCCTTTTTCCCCCACATGGAGCCGCCCAAACGACTCACGCCTCGTGTTTTCTGGGTCATTGGTGTGGTCTTTGTTTTGAGGGCGGGTTCCTCCTTGATCAAGAGTTGCACTTTTGTGTTCCAGGAGGAAAGTAGGTCATGGTCAGGTTAATACAGCCACCTGGCAGGGTGCTCTGAACTGCCTCGTTCCCCTAACCTGTCAGCTTCCATCTTGGGAGCCGGTGGCTTGCGGTGAATTTCGGACCGGATGTGCACAAGTCCATTTGGGGTCACCCGCATCTCAAGCGCAGCCCGGATACCAACTGGGTCCCTGAACGAGGTTGCATTTTGTGGGGGTCCCAAAATGACTTTTGGGGGATTTACGCCACCATCTAGCTCGGGTTAGTTTGAGGGTGTCACTTTGGATCCAGGCCAACTTACCTCTCGCAGTTTGCAAATTGGCTGCGCTGAAGCACAGGCGACACTCCGACCTCTCGCAGCATGAGCGCGACTGCACTGAAGCTCCTGCCCCGGATGCCGAGTTTGCACATCTGCAGATTCACACGGGTGTGTCCTGGATGTGTGTTTTCGAGGCTCGGAACTCTTTCCAGGTTGGTTCAAAGGGAAACCAAAAAGCAAGCAGGCCCATGGAGCCCAAAAACAGGTTGTTGCGGGTTCCAAGCGGGTTGGACCAAAAGTGCAACAGCAAACATGAGTGTTTGTGGGGGTTCCAGCTGAAAGTTGCGGGGGTTGGATTTGGAGAATGAACCCTTACTGTGTGTTTTTATTGCTGGCTGGCTAGCTGGCTGGCTGGCTGGCTGGCTGGCTGGCTAGCTAATTAGTTGGTGGGTTGGTCGGTTTGCCGGTTGGCTTGTTGATTGCTTGCTTGCTTCGTTCGTTCGTTGGTTGGTGGGTGTGTTCGTTCGTTTGTTTGTTCGTTGGTTGCTTGCTTGGTTCGTTCGCTGGTTGCTTGATTCGTTCGTTGGTTGCTTGCTTGGTTCGTTCGCTGGTTGCTTGATTCGTTCGTTGGTTGCTTGCTTGGTTCGTTCGTTGGTTGGTTTGTTCGTTCGATCGTTCGTTGGTTGCTTTTGCTTGGTTTATTGGTTCGTTGGTTCATTCGTTCGTTGCTTGCTTGCTTGGTTCGTTCGTTTGTTGGTTGGTTGATTTGTCGGTTCGTTGCTTGCTTGGTTCGTTCGCTCGTTCGTTGGTTGCAGACCCCCGTGCAATTTCTTCCGTCCCACCCTTGCACCTTAGGACCGCTGCCCGGAGTGCGGGCCTCGAATTTTGGTCATCCGGAAAGAGTCACCGCAGGGATGGCCGGCTCGTCCTTTTGTGGAGTTGGCAGCCCTTGTTTGTGTTGTTGTTCAAGGGAAAGGATAGCCGAATCCATTTCGGGGGACACCCAGGTGGCGCAATTCCAACCATTTTTATCACCTAAAAAGGGTCCTGGTGGGAGTTTTCACCGGTGGTTTCCTCCCAACAACGCCACCCTTCAAAATGGACTCGCAGAGTTCATTTTGTGGTTCCATTTTTCCTTAGACTAGCTGAGGGGGGATGTTGGAGTTCGGAGTTGGACACCGAAATTCCCCAAGCTGGGGCCCCACATGACGCCCATTGCCTTTTTTTGGGGTGTCCTTTTCTTTTGTTGTTAATCGAAAATAGCTGGCCCTGGTTGACCTGGTGCGTTCGTAATCCACCAGTACTTCTTGGATGGTCTGGGAGTTAGCTAAATGGCTAGTAACCCTGGTTGTATCCCACTTACAATGGTTGTAAGTCCCCTGTAACTAGTGTTACTATCCATTTAGCTGCAGCTAAGTCCCACACCATCTAAGTTGTCCTTCTTGTTCTTCCCCCAAGCAGGACACCTATGCTTGTGGGGCAACCGCTTCGGTCGGTGACACACCCCAGGTGCCTCGCGACTCGCGCTTGAGAACAAGGAGAAGCCGAAGGATTCCAAGAGCGTCAGAGCCCTAGGGCGCGAGCTGTAGGAGTCGCCTGGTTTTTGCCCGGAAAATTGGCATCACCAAATTTTTGGGCTCAGGCCCTTGGGCGGTTACGTGGCTGAGTTCTCTGTCAACTTTTCATCAGGCAACCCAAAACATGGGCGGTTTGGATTGGTTTTGGGTTTCTTCCTTTGCAAGGAATCATGGCGGTGGGAAAGCGGGGGTGGATGGGTTGAGGAGGCGGTCCATTCAGTCATTCGGTACTGAACGGAAGTGCTTAGGAACCTTTATAGTTGTAGCTACAGACTGAGCGGTGACTTAGAACAGGTGTATATGGGATAATTGAATGGGTTGTAAGCTGGCGGCCGTCTTTTTGGGTTCCATGTTGATTTGCAGGGGAGGCGGCCAATTCTCAAGGGAATTTTTGTTTTCAACTGGTTCTGGAAGCCACAGGAGATCCAACCTACCAATCCCAGCCGGAACCTGTTTTATGGTGATATTTTGCGGCTGGACCAAATAGAAAGGCAGGCTTTTGACAATTGTTCCCCCCAACAGCTCCAGGCCTTTCTGTGGGGGGGGCCTCTGCCCAGCTAAGCTCGGGAATAAGAAACCAAGCTAGCTTTCCGAAAGAACAACTCCGGAGGTTGCTGATGATACCACCGGGGCTTATTTTTGACTCCCATTCTGCCCGGGGCTCATTCGACGTATGGGCTAGCATTTTTTTGGCTGAAATCTAGAGCTAGTACTTGCGCCAGGGTTCCTTTAAGGGTTCCACAACTGTAATCAAAAAACAACACGACCTCAGTTCTTTTTTTTTGAGAGAGCTTCTTCATTTTTTTGGGGGGGCACGACCTAAGCTTTTTTTGTGGGGATACCGGGGCCGGCCTTTTTTCGCCGCTTTTTTTTTTCCAAGGAGGGCAGCCAGGAGGGGAAGGCTCCCAGCGCTCTCAGCTGGGAGCCCCGGATCGATCCCGAGCCACGAGCCGAAAATGGTTCGGGCGCTACGAGCCGAGGGAAACCAAGAACCGCCCGGGTCCAGAACACGGTTCAGAGTTTTGTGTTCTTGGGCGGATTTCACTCCGATTTTGTGTCCACCCTAGTCCTTTCATGGTACTCGTTTTAATACTACCCTGTTGATTTTGCTTCCACCCTGTTAGTTCGTTTATGGTACTCTTAAAACATCTTCTACAGGGGCGGATCCACAAGAGCCACATCCAAACCGTTGTCTAGACCTGGGGTGCAGATACAGCCACCAAGACTCGATGAATCTTGGGTTAATCTAAGCGCCATTGTTTGCCGTTCAGGATTGTGGTCGTCTAAATCGGGTCCTTGCCATTAATTGAATTCGGGTTGAACTTTAGGGACCATGTTTGGCGTCCCCGAATTGTTTGCCGTCCCTCAAAAAGGGAGTTTCCCACGCACAAGACTTTCTGTTGCATTTTTGCGGTCTTCAAATGTGGCTTCTCTGCACCCCCCCCCCCAAAAAATAGAAGAAGTAGGGGGCCTGGGGGGAAGTCTGTTGATGGTTGCCTGTTCTGGTTTTTATGTTCATCTCAAATCTATGTTCCCCCTTATTCGTTTTGAAAAGAGGGTTTTTAGGGAGCTTATTTATCGTTTTCGTTAAGGTAATCATTTGGGTAAATTGTCGCCTTGTTCATTGTTGGGCTAGGGGCAAACATTTTTTTCATTTGAAAGAGGTAGCCCTTTTAGTAGTTATCAAGTTCTGGGGTGTTGGTGGGTCGTTTGTTTCTTTGACGTTTATCTCTACAATTATTTATTTTTGTTCTACACTCTTGACAATATTTATATCTTCTTCCACTTTTTACATTTCCAAATTCATCAATTGTTTTATCATAAAGACATCTGTTGCATTTGAAGAATTCACCATAGTCTTCTGTTGCTTTTTCTTCTGTCATTCCATAATTATTCATTATAGTTTGCTTCACAACCATTTCTTAATATATCTTAACAACTTCTTTTTATGTGATTTTTATGTGATTGTCTAGTTATGTTTTATAGGTTGAAATTACAGTATAATGAAAGGTTATAAAAGTTTACACTGTTTAATCATATTATAATTAAATATTATGATTAAGCCATGAAATCATTGTTTCTGTTTTCTATAAATTTCAATTGCAACATGTTCGATAGTAATGATTTCGTGTCGTTTCATAGTCTGTTTGGTTTCTTCAACTGCTTGTTCAATATGGTATTGTAATGACGCTCTACTTGAAATCTTATTCTGTTTAGATGATGAATAAGAACGACTGTTGCAAATATTATTATTATACATAATTTTTGAACTAACTACTATTCCAACCTGTATTTCTTCATCATACTTCATCATTCTTAATAATTCTTTTGGTGGTTTCAACGCATATGAAAGCGCTTTATCACCTTTTAAGCATTTATTGCGAATCTCAACATAATATCTACTTTCTCCTACTCGTTCAGTGTAAATAGACGGTTTCCATTTCCTTTGTAATTCTCTTAAAGCATCACATTGTTTCAGTCTTCGCCACCCTTCACTACCATTAATGTAAGTAGTGATGATTGAAACTAAGCCTTCAGGTAAGCTAGCGCAATTCTCATCCATAAAATTATTCTCTGACATTTTACCCTTACTCATTTTTCTCTTAATATATAAGGCTTTTTCTCTTTAAGTAGTTTTGGCTAGGGGTTGCTGGTCGGCTGGTCTGGGTTTCAGGTTTAATTTAAATGTCTGTGTGAGCCAGACCTTGCTGTGCGAGCCAGACCTTACTGTGTGAGCCAAACCTTGCTGTGTGAGCCTGACTGTGTTGTGTGAGCCTGACTGTGTTGTGTGAGCCAGACCTTGTTACTTGAGCCATTCTCCCCTTAATTGGGGAGTTCGCCCCCCTTAATTGGGGAGTTCGCCCCCCTTAATTGGGGAGTTCGCCCCCCTTAATTGGGGAGTTCGCCCCCCTTAATTGGGGAGTTCGCCCCCCTTAATTGGGGAGTTCTTAATTGGGGAGTTCCCCCCTTAATTGGGGAGTTCGCCCCCCTTAATTGGGGAGTTTACCCACCGTTTTCAAATCCAATGATATAACATTATAACCGAGCGACTTTGCTACTTTACCAACTGAAGAAGTACCACTAAATAGTTCTAATAAGTGCATATATTATTAGAACTATTTAGATATTAATATTTTCACATACATATCGTTGATGTTTTTCAGTTCTCTCGTGTCTTCTTATATCACATTTCCTGAAAACACCACCACATTCACATTCAATAGGTTCTTTTCGTTTTTCCAATATTGTTTCTTTGTTTTGGTGGTAGTGCTCCCTACTTTTATTACATATATGTTCTTTGTTGTTTTCTGCGTATTCCTTCCTCATATTTTGATAGTGTTCCTTATTGTCTTCCTTCCACTCATTAATTGTTCTACCTGCCACACATCTATTCACACAATCATTATTTTGAATGTAATAACCTTCTCTTTTCATTAACTGTTCTCTGTTTTCACATGGGTAGTCTTCTAATAATTCAATCTTACAGTTGTCCATTCCATATTCATCAAACAACAAACGACAGTTTGTTTTATTATTCCATTGTTCTGCCTTGTTATAATTTTGTCTATGTCTTGCCATTCTTTGGCTCAAGCTTTCACAGGTGCTTCCGATGTAGCACTTATTATAACCAACATCTGTTATTTTGTAAATCTTTGCGTTTTTATATTTACTGCTATCCATTAATAACCTTAGTTATCTTTTCTTTAACGCAGTTTATAATGTCCATAAGGCAGTGAATTGAAAGCATCAATGTAAAACCTTTTATTTTCATAATTACTGAGTGATTGCTTGACTTGAGACATTGAAAATAATTGATGGTTGCGACTACGAATAAAATTATATGTTATTTCATGCTTTTTGTTTTGAAATAATGCTTCGTGGTAGTTTTGGTAAGTCAGTTCTTTCTTCACCTTGTGTTTCACTACACCTTTTGATTTCTTTTGTTCTTCTTCTTCACCGTGTATTGTAAAAGCATACGATTTAGGCTTTAACCCTATGAATTGTGTTATTGTTTGACCGTTGCACTCATCCTTGAAATAACCGAGTTTTTTCTTATTTGTTTTGTCATGGCAGGGGTGTTCAGGTGGATAATCGCTAAAGTCCATATATTGGTTTAATTCTTTGAAGTCCTTGTAGATGTCCTCAGTGAATGTTTGAATTACATAACTGTCAGTATCAGTATAAACCAGTTTGATGTTTTCATTGTATTTCTTCTTAAGAACATCATAGTAGAACTGATACATATGTAATTTACTGATGTCAAGGATTGTCATTCCTAAGAAAATCGGTTTGTCCAGTTTCAGCTTCGCTTTAGTTTTTTCAACTCCTACAAGGTTTTCATTAATAATAAATCTATTTTTGAATGTTGGATTATTAACACATTTTTCGTATCTAACTTCATTATCAACTAATTCAAAGTCCATATGATTTCGTTTGTCTTCCATAGTTTTTCCATACACAGAATTATTCATTAATTTGAATAAATCTTTCTCAAAATCGCTTTTGGCTTCTTTCCTTTTACCTGTGTTAAAATCAATCCACGGTTTCAACCATGCCCTCTGTTGAAATTTTATTATCCTATGGACTTTTGTCATTTTCATTCCCATTTTCAAATAATACTGTAAAGTCTTGATATGAACCACATATTTTTCTTTATCCTTTAGATTTAATATTAACTTACTTGTTTTCTCATCCTTGGGATTTTTGCCATCATAATATATTTTGTAGACTTGCTTTTGATAATCAGAAAGCATACTAACATTTACATTCATTATTTCAGGCGCTAGTGGATAGTCAGAGTGGAAGTCGTGCAATGTTTCGGGATATTCCAAATCAACTTCCATAATATAACCGAACTCATCGTTTTCATTCCATGTTTCAACACTGGGCGTTTTCTTTGCCCACTTGATATTTTTTAGCGGTAATTTCTGGGACATTGCTAAACCATACAAGTTATTAGCATCCAAGTAGCTAATATAATTTGATGGCTTGTTCTCATCATATGCTTCCCCCATATACTTATTATTTGCCACCGCTAATTTATGACTGACTTGACACATTCCTCCTCTCATTCCCTTTTCAACCATCTCAAACATTTCTTGGTCATGCAATTGTTCTATTTCAACACCAGTTTTTAGAAGCATCGCGTCCCATGCGAAATTTGGCAATGTGTAATAATGAGCGGGGTCTAAACCGTAGTATTCCATACACAAGTCTCTAAAGTTTTCAAATACATCGGTCAGTAGTAAAACATCAGTTCTTAAATACAAGTCGTGATACTGCCCGAGTGTTCTAATCCCGAAGTGCTTCCATACTTTCAGTGCCCTTTCATAATCTTTATCGCTTACATGTTCTTCACTCAATTTACTGTAAAACGCTTCTTTCGGTGGTAAAGCCCTTTCCTTAAATCTTTCAAAATCATCAAAGTAGTCATAGGGATAAATACCCTTATCAGTCAATAAATCCAAATCTTCATCGGTTTTAACATACGGGTTTCTAACGCTGTATCTGAAATTGTTCTTCCAATTCTCACGCTTTTTATCATCCTCATATTTACTCAACCTGACCAACTTATCCAACGAAGACGATAAGAAACTGAAACTGTCCTTGAAACAAAGATTTTTAAAACCAAAGGTTATAAACTTTTCGCTGTTCTGAGCGATACATTCTATTTTAGAATTCTTGTTCAATTCGTGAGCCTTGTTGATGATTAAGTGGGCATCATAGTTTTTAAGGTTATGAAGAAACACAGGGATTTTATAATATCTCATACTAAATCGTAGATTGCAGTCCTCGTGGGCGCAACCTCTATACTGTCCCGTAAAGTGGCAATGGTCCCAACACTTCTTTTCTCCTTCCTCAAATTTGTTTCCACAAATGAAGCAGTTAGTGGCATTATTGAAGTCCTCCCAGTCCT